ATCTATTACAAAGAAATTGAAGAGGATATAAAAAAATGGAAAGATATCCCCTGCTCCTGGGTAGGAAGAATCAACATCGTGAAAATGGCCATACTACCAAAACTGCTATATACATTCAATGCAATGCCAATTGAAATTCCAACACTATATTTCACAGAACTAGAAAAAAGAATCCAAAAATTCATTTGGAACCACAAGAGACCTAGAATAGCAAAAGCCATTATAGGCAACAGTCACATGGCACCAGGTGTAACAATTCCCAATTTGAAACTATACTACAAAGCCACTGTGATAAAATCAGCATGGTACTGGCAAAGAAATAGGCCTGAGGATCAATGGAACAGACTGGAAGACACAAAAACAAATGCAGATGTACTCAGCTACCTCATCTTCGACAAAGGAGCTCACCATCCTCAGTGGAGGAAAGATAGCCTCTTTAATAAATGGTGTTGGAAAAACTGGATATCAACCTGTCACAGATTAAAATTAGACCCTTATCTTTCGCCATGCACTAAATTAAAATCCAAATGGATTAAAGATCTAAATATTAAAACAGAAACATTAAACTTGCTGGAAAGTAAGTTAGGCAGAACTCTGGAAGACATTGGTATAGGAAAAGACTTTATGAACAAATCCTCAGTAGCACGGGAACTAGCAGAAAGAATCAACAACTGGGATCTCATCTTACTAAAAAGCTTCTGTACTTCAAAAGAAACCATTAGCAGAACTAAGAGACAATCTACAATGTGGGAAAAAATTTTTACCAGCTGTACCTCAGACAAAGGACTATTATCAAGGATATATAAAGAACTCAAAACAATCAGTCCCCCCAAATATAAAGACCCGATCCAAAAATGGGCATCTGAAATGAACAGACATTTCTCATACAAAGAAGTGAAAGCAGCAAGAAAATATATGAAAAAATGTTCCACATCACTGGTCATTCGAGAGATGCAGATGAAAACAACACTGAGATTCCACCTCACCCCACAAAGAATGGCTGCTATCAAGAAATCACACAATAACAAATGTTGGCGGGGTTGTGGGGAGAAAGGAACCCTCCTCCATTGTTGGTGGGAGTGCAGACTAGTGCAACCACTATGGAAATCAATATGGAGATACCTCAAAGAGCTTGGACTGGAGGTTCCATTTGACCCAGCCATCCCTCTGCTGGGTATCTTTCCAAGAGAACTAAAAGAATCATATCACAGAGAAGTATATATATCTTTAATTTAACCACGTGAGTTTTAAACCTAAACACTCCCTGCATGTCTGTGGCTTAGAGCAATGAATTTAGATAAGAAGAGAGTTTACTATTTTTTAACGCTTTGCAATAAGTGCTGTTTGCATATGATAACTGATTTACAAACGCTCATGAGTCACTAATAAATAAATACCCAGAGGCGTGTGTTAAGTGCGGAGTGAAGAGTTCCAACTCTGGAGAACCCTGGTCTTCGCCCTGTCTCCCCAGGCACATCCTATGAGATGATCCCAGGAAATTTCAGAGATAGTCTGATTACTTCAAAAAACTCATATTGTTGTAAACGAATTAGTTGTTACATGTAGCAAATAGATATTGCAGGCAGTAAAATTAAGGCTCATCAGCAGCCAGTCAAAAAATGGAAATGCGTGGGGCAGGAGCACGCTCAGATCTCACTAGACTTGGCCCCCTTTTACAAGCGATGAATACTTGTAGAAAGTAAGCGGTGACCCTAGCATTCAAACTCACACTTTTCAAGACACTGCCTCTTTGAGAAAGATTTAGATCCTCTGAATTATGAATCTAGAAAGTCTATGTGGATGCAGTTGTGGGTGCCTGAAATTCCAGCTGTTATGGAAGCTGAGGTAGAAGGGTCACTTGTGCCCAGGCGTATGAGACCAGCCTATGCAATAAAGCAAGATCCCTCCTCTCAAAAGGGAAAACAAAGAAAAGAGAAAAAAGAAAGACAGAGAACCTCAAAGGTTAGTATTTGTTCTGGAAAATAGAGGGTAAAACCAAAGAACTTTGTGCAGAAGGAAATTTTTAATTCTATTTCTCAAATGTAGTTTTCTACAATTTTTTATTTCTCCAGCAGATATTACAGGGCAGTGGTACTGAGAAGACAATTATTTTGCCAAGATGATGGAGTGAACTACTATATTGTGAACTTGCTGTTAATATCAGTCAAACAAAATCAGATGACTATGTAGTAATGATAGAGGCAAGAACCAGAAATCTGTCTGGGCTACGTCCACAGCTAAGAGCACTGATTTTTTTCCTTCCAGGTTCGTGAGATAGACCCCAAAGTCTCCTGCATGCCAGGTAATAGCTCTACCACAAGCTGGATATGGTGGTGCACACTGTAATCCCAACACTCTGGGAGAATGAGGCAGGAAGATCATTAAGTTTTGGCCTAGCCTGGCTATCTTAGTGACTTAGACCCTGTCTCAAAGAAAAAACGGGGGAGAAGGGAAAGCGATAGGTATGTATCTCATTGTGAATGTGCTATGTTCGGTTCCCAGTGTCACCTCCAAACTTGATGGAACTCAGACCTGAGCCTGTCACCTCTGTGAAGGGAAGTATTACAGAAAGAAATGAGTACCTATGAAGACTCAAGGGGGAGAAAGATATCTGTCAGTCTCAGGTGGCCGGGAAGAGTCTGGTGATATTAGATTTTGATGTTCATTTTAATTGTTTTGATATCTTAACCTAGGAATAAATTGCCAGTGAATCACTTTTATGCAATAGTAAAAGGTGTATAGAATGTTATTGCTGCTTCCTGTTCAGGGCCCCCTCCCCAGCATGGAGCCTTATTGAGACACATTTCATTCAGGAAGTAGGCAGTTTTATCAGAGCAGAGAGAACACTGAAAATTACCCTTTGTGTTATAGCAGACCATATAAAAAGACTAAGTTCAAAGTGCGGCTCCCAAGAGAATACGTTAAGGAAGGAACGCCTTTGGTGGCTCCAGAGAATTATGTCACCAGGTTTTTTTATTGTTTTTTTAAAAGGCCCATATTCCTGCTCTTAGAAATTGAGAGATAAGAGATTCATACATGTGATAAAATGAACATTGTGTTAAATCCAAGCTGCTTAGATTTTTACTTTTTTTTGTTTTTGACAGGGTCTTGTGTTTTCCAAGCTGGTTTTGAACGTGTGTGCTGAATTGATCCTCCTGTCTCAGCTTCCTAAATTGCTGGGACTGCAGATGTGTGCCCCCCAGGCCTGACTAACAGTGCATGAATTTTTAAAACAGTTTCATATAATACTATTTCTTGAATTCTTTCTAGTTATTGGTGAGGCCAGAGTGTCCTTGTTAAGCCACCATGCATGGGCACTGGAAAAAGAGAATCATTCCCAATTTCTACCGTGTGACTACGGTATGACCTTGTTGATGTAGTTGACTTCTAATCCCTCGGTTTAAGTGGAGGCAAGAACATTCTTTACAAGATTACAGTGTAGAGAAGTAATTGTCAATGTGTTATTTAAAAATGAGCCTTTCTGAAGTATTGCAAATTTGAATCTATCTTAGACCCTCCCATCAAGGGCATGACATCAGGAGAAGCAGTTGTGAAATTGAACAACAGTAGGGTCATGCAACTTCCAAATGGCTGGAAGTTTTTGATATAATAAGGTACTGAGACT